GGGGGGGGGGGGGGGGAAACAAAACACACCCACACCCAAAACAGGAAAAAACCCAATGTGTTAATTCAGGAACATGAGAAATTTAACAGAACACAAGCAACATGAAAACGAACTGCTGTATAAAGTCACCAGGCAGAGGTCTTTGAACAAGGCCATAAACAAGACTTCTGCCTTTCTTTAGCATGAAATGAACCACATTGAAGAACACAAATATTACTGCACTTATAGCTAGCTCTGTCGTCCAGCTCCAGAAAGCAAAGAAGGAGAGAGAAAACACTGACTCTTCCCAAGATAAAATAGCCTCAGTTTTCTAATCTAAATGTCTTCTTTAAAGAAAAAAGACTCATGATCTGGGCCCAAATCTCATAAGTGTTGGACATTCACAGGTCTGCAGCTGTGCTTTTAAGTGCAAACTAGTATTTTAATTGCTATCCTTCAGTCACTACTGCAAAACTGAAAGACAAGTGGGACATCCCTCTGTCCGTTTCATTCAAGTAGCTTTGAGTAACCATTCTTTCAGAAATGACTAGGACTAGACAAACACGTCACATGTGCCCAAACGTGAATTTTCACAACCTATTTCAATAGAAGATTCTTTACCCAATGAGATACTTCCATGTCCAGCAGAACTGAAAACTGCTGTACCTACTCTAATAAGCTGACATTCCATTCAAAGGATGTGCTTTTAAATAAATAAATGCAAACAATATTATAAAGTCAGTGATAAGCACCAAATTGCATGGGAAGAAAAGCCAGGCAAGAGTCTACATTGACTGTAGAAATATGTGCCCATCACTGTGTTTTCCAACTAGTATTTCAGTCAATTCCAAGTCACACAATTTAGGGAACTGCTGATCACTTTCTTAGCAGTGATCAACACATGAAGATAATTGCTAACAACACTAAATGCTTCACTGGAATTTGCTCAACATCTCCAAGTCTTGGGTTTCTACAGAAAATGTGTTTTGTCAGGAGCAAAAAGGCCTGTGTCAATACACCTAATGCTGCATATGACCTTCCAACCTGGAACACTGAGCCTCAGCTGACACCATGAGCAAGAGGGGATTAAATGTTTAAAATTTCACGAGTTCAAAAATGCAACATAACACAAGTGTTTTACCAAGGCATGTCCCGCTGCTCAGCCAGAACTGTACTCCTAAGTTATTCAGGGTCCGGGCAGCCAGATGTAGCAAGGACTTTGCTTTCTTTCTGAACTCCACTGCAGCAAGAGAGGCATCATCAGGGTGCAGCTGTAAGGCAAAGGAAGAATAAACAAGGTATTGGCAGAGAGCAAGCCTGTCACTTCATTTTTCAGGGTCTGAAGAAAAAAAGTCACCTTTATAAAATCCACCTACTAATATCTGGGCTGTAACCGCTTCCACAAATACAGCCCTATTTGAGAACATGCACTAGAACGACAAGTTAAAATCTCAACTCTGAAACGGGGACAGTATCAGTTACTTCCAGCACATTAGTTTCTTTGACGTCATAAAGTGTCACAACAGCATGTTGACAACTTCCCCCGTGGAGAACAGAAAATCATGCCCACCTTCCAGCCAAAATTGTGGCAAGGTCTTCTGCTAATGCACAGCCCAAAACAAGACAGCACTGTGGGCAAACGGAGGCGAAGCAAACACAGGAACAAGGCACCACTCAGCTTCAGAACTGATGTCATCAAGAGCTCTTGGGCCACAAGCAGTTCACCTTCCAAAGCTCAACAGCTCAAATTCACTAACCCCATTCTCAGTCCACAGTCTTAATTGTGGTAACTCTTGACCACTTTCTATCTCGGTCCTTTTGAAGTTCAGACAAAATGCTTCCTGTAGTGCAGCATAAGTACAGGCAGCAATATCCTGAAATCAGGCACCAATATTCTGAAAACAGTGCTCTAAGGACCGGTGAAAACATTAACTCACATGGCCAAAAAGCAATGAAATATGTCTTTTTGGAATTAATATACCATTTCAAATAAACCAAACTGGGAACGTGGAACTGCTGTGCATGGTTCAAAACAAGATAAAATTAAATATTCCCCAGAACTTTGAGAATTGCCAGAAGGAAAATTTTCAACCATAGACACACAAGATCTTAGTCTTACCTACAGGGTATCTCTTTAACAGTAACGATGTGTGACAACTGCGAACATGTATGTTACCTCTTCTTTTCAAAGTTTGGAAAATGGGAAAAAATGCACTCACAAGTGAAAAAGACAGACCCTGACTTTCAGTTAAAGTTTATGTTGCATTACCCCTTACTAAACTCCGGTTTGAGTCTTGCAGGCTGTATTTAGCTTTATGTATGGAAACAGTCACACCTAGGTAAAAACCAGCAAGCTCTTTGTAGGTTTGGGTCAATCAGTGAAAACATACGTTATATCTCAGAGACACTACCACTAACCTGAAAGAAAGCACGAGCTTCTCTGTACCTACATTCAAGAAATCTAGAGCGTGACATCTCCTCTAGAAAACGGGACGGATTTTTTGGAATTTGAACTTTCAAGTCATCAATGGAAACAAGCAGAAGTTCTGGCCTGCAGGGAAAGAAAGATGATACATTACCCCATCCAATGCTTTTACAAACCACAAGCCACTTCTTCCTCTAACTTAGGTTAAAATCTTAATGCATACGACTGACAGCAATTCCTCTGTCCAAATACACCCAAATCCCATTATAGAAGAGCAGCAACAAGAGTTTCAATAAACTCTTTCTACACTTCAAAATACTGCGTAAAAAGGAATTCTGTGCCTACAGACCACTGTTTTTCAGATTACAGACTCCTGTAACAACTGTCTATTTAGTTGTCTAAGTGTGGGTAGAACCAAGTTTTACCATGTACCTTGAGGCTATTTGCATTTAAGATTTTAAAACTCGTCAGCCTTCACAAGGAACGAAATGTCATATTTAACAGCTTACACAGTCAATTTCAAATGTTTAGGCACATAACAGGAACAGATTTCATGTTTTTAAAAGGAATAAAGAATGGTGTCAATTTTAAGGAAAAAGTTAAACAGATTTATTTTGGCCTGTGAAATGTTTCTCTCTGATTTATGGCACATCCACACACCCAACATGAACTCTGTTATCAAAGCCTACGGCTATGTGCTTGGCCTTGAAAACAGTGATAAGGTTTACCACAATCTGTATTTCCTGAAATGCTGCTACTGCAATCATCGGAAGGCATTTCCAGTAACTTTACTAGAGCAATGCAAAGTCTGAACGTAAGGCTATGGACAAATACCAGCATCAATTCAAACATTTATGCGAGAAAGAAGTCCCCCAGCACATTAACAGCACAGGTTAGAAGCAGCGGTTGGCACATGTCCTTGGGGTACAAACGCCACCTCTCTTCACTCGTGTTCTGTAACACCAAGTCGTTGGGCTGTTACTGAATGGATTTCTGTTGCTTCCCCCTTTTGATCCGATGTTCCATATCTGTACTGAACTTTTGGACACATATCATTACAGGAAGAACACCAGACATCCATCAGCTAGTACTAAATCTCCTGCCACTTCCATTTTACCCCTGCGTTGATGGCACAGGTGGCTATCAACAGATTTCAAACTTCTACATATATTCATCATAAACTGTAGCAGAATATCCTCTGGTACAGTCAACCTCAGCCATGACTTTTGACTTCTCTTCTGGCCTGGCTACACACCAACATCCTCTAAAATGTAGTTCTTCAGTTACACGTGGTTGGACGCCCTTGTTTCCAGGTAAGTAGACCTTGATTCACCTCCACTTTGAGAGCTGAACCATATAGAAGCTAAATTTTACAACCAGACTTTAGGAGAGAGAGTCATTTTATACAAAGAAGTTGTTTTGGAAGTGTCGTTATGGCTTTTTCTCTCCTCTATTCTGAACTCACTTTTCATATGCTCCAGGGTAGTGACCAAAGTGGAGTTTCCGGAAAGGCACAAACTTCCTGTCCATGTGTTGCTTGAGTCTCAGGGAGCCGTGCCAGAGATAATTACCGCTCCTCTCATAGAAGATCACCAGGTGAATGGCATGAGATGCCAGTTTAAATATGTAGTGCAAAGGAATTTCAATCCCAGACAGGTCATCCATCCCATCCAAGCGGGGGTCCTTGTTTAGAATCTTTAGCCATTGAAAACCCATTCTCTCAGCAGCTTTAAAAATGCCCCCCTAAAAATGAGACAGGCAGAGGCTGAAGATTACAGAAACCAATCCTGAACGTGAAATGCTTATTATTAACTGACATTATCCCCATTTTAATTTCCTGATCCAACTTAAGCACAGACTACTCAAAAATTTCTAAGACCTTAAAGATCAGCAACCACAAGCAATTGCAACCACTGTATCGGCTCATCTTAAGTTATGTCCCTCAAACTATCCAACAGAACAACAAACAAAAGTTGTAAGCCATGATTGGAGTAGGATTGCTCCTGGCCACAGCAACCTTCTCTGCATCCTCAGACTGTTCTCTGTTCTTCTGCCAAACTGCCTGATCAGACCCAGAGTGTCACCACTCTTCACTTAGGTGGGACTCCTTCAGTGGAACAGAAGTCACAGACCATTTTAATGTCTCCTGCTTTCTGCTTTTTCTCAAAAAAACAAAAAAAAAAAAAAAAAAGAAGAAAAAAGCTGTCTGTCACTGCTACCTTTAGTCTGTATAAACTAATTTTAGTAAAAATTTCCAGGTGACAATCGACAAAATAATCTTGGATTCCCTTCTGCCCCTTATTACATGCTACACCTCTATTTTTTAACACATCCATTTAAAAATCTCAGAAAGAAAAGCAGAGATGCCAATACGCTAAGTGACAAAACAAAAGCACAAAGTACAAAGATGTACTAAAAGAAAATATAAACCACTCCACTAGGATAATCTTGTCAGCCCTGTCACATCAATACCTGCTTTTCCTCCTTGACAGAACCCCACACTCAAGATTTATTATAGCTGTACCTACCTTACAGGCTTAAGGTTTTCCTTCTTCCTTTCCAACAAACTACTTTCTTTTTACTTTTTGGCACGGACTCTTACTACAAGTGTTTATGAATATTGTAGGTTGCTTTTAAAAATGTTTACTTACTTGTACACGACCCTTAATGTGTCTGGCTAGTGCCTGCAACATTTTACTTTAAAAAAAAAAAGTTCCCTCTACCAATACCTTGACAAGATTTCCACAGAATTAACTCAGAGGCTTACTACAAACATGAAAGCATCTTGTCATGCAATCCTACAACAGCTGAATGCATCACCATACACAAATACGTCAACTGAAGAAAAGGCACTTACTTCATGTTTCCATGCTTTGTCCAGTAGTGCAAACGTAGTAAAGTCTCTCTTTGCACAAAAGTACTTGCAGTCTGGACTGGGGCCATCAGGAGAACTTCTGATCTGCTCAATGTCTTTATCAACCAGTCCCAGAATCAAAGGATCAATCAAATACACTGGTATATTGTGACTTGATATTAAGCCTAGGAACATCCTAACCACGTGCTGTTTGATGGAGGATAAAATGAAAAGTTAGAAACACCATCTTCAAGTGTACAAAGCTTAACACACTCAAACTCCCAGACAGAAGAAAAAAAACCCCACCCACTGACAGAAGGAAATCTTATCTCCCAAGACATTTTCTGAGTGTGTAGTTTACTTCCATGAACAATTGTGGAAATGGAAATTTTCTCTTTCAGAAGAACAGGCTGCTCTCAGGCTTTCCAGGTTTCTAAGACCAGAATAAAAACCTTTCAGCTTCAACTAGAACTTTCTACAAGTTAGAGCACCCTAACAATAGAGTTCTAGACCTGAGAAAGGACTCTAGGCTAAACTCAAGACTCCTTACAGCTCTCGATTGAGCTGGAAAGCATTTGAGTAAACCAGAGATTATGAGATATGAAGGGTGATTCAGTGAGAAGGTAGGAAGTGAGTGCTATCCAGTCTTTGGATGCTAGTGTACCCAGGGCACTCAACCACAGCAACACTGCAGAAGGGGTTAAAAGCTGTAGCAAGAAGGTCCTGTGCCTGATGGGAGGATTTAGTTACTTGACTCGGGACAATTTTCATCAAGTATATTTAAATGTCCATGGCACACAGAAGATTTACACCAATAACAGCCACCCTGCTATTAAAGTTATAGCTGGTGTATTTAACTGTAACAGGAAAATACCTGAACACTGGAATACTGCAACTGGAGAATTCTGACACATAACATTTTCCTTCTCGTGAAGAGCTTTACGACCCAGCATGAGCAACGAACACAGAGCACCCAGCAGCAGGTTAAACAGCTGCAGCAAGGAAAGGGGTATTCTGTGACCTCAGACCTACAGCCCATTCTTTTACCATGCTACTGATTATCAAACAAGATGCATGTCAAGGCAGTCAATCTTTTCCGCATTCAGTTGGAAAGAACACAAATGCCTGAATCAAAACTTCCATACCAGAAAGAACAAGTTTTGCTTCTTAAACATGAACAACATTACTAAGGACAGCACAGGCAAAGGCAGCTAAACTGTAACCCTTTCGTAATTCCATTGTACCTGTTTTTTTGAAACACTTTGTAACTTCATACAGGGAAGAAACTATCTTAGTCCTTAATCCCAAAAATCCCCAGGGAAGAGGAAAGACAACTGGACCCTGAGGTTGCAATTCTGTGCGAGTTGCCCAAGACTTGCAGAGCCACAGTATGAACCAATGACACTGTACATACCCATCTGGTTCTGTCTGAGCCTGACTGGCTTCCTCCGACTTTGGAAAAAATGGCTCCATTCTATCAAAATCAAAGAAGGGGATGGAGAGGGAGAAAGAAGTGGGAAAAAGAGTAAGTCTCTGTTGAATCCCTGCTTCGGATCTTTTAACAGGACATTCAGGGACATTTATGCAGTAAGCACGTTACTCGTTGTGGCTGTGGTTATACCTCTCATTGCTCACCTACAGCACTGAATGTGAAATTACATAACCATCTGCTCTGGCTGACTGTATTCAGAAGGACAACACAAGCCTCGGGGACTTCCAGACATGCAAGGATTGCATGAACAGGCCTCACATTTCTAAATCAGTATGCCAATAAATGTCAAATAGCAAGATGATAAAGCCAAAAACTCTTAGGCAAATATCACGTGGCTGGCGGGCGAGGGAGCGCACGGAAGGATGGATAGCAGGACTGTGCCTCTGTCCTTCCAGATGTAATCCTAGAAAATTAAATCTGAAGACACTATATTCTTATGATGAAGCCAAGGTGTTTATTGGCTCAGCTTTTAGCTTTTCAAAAATAAGTAGCATTTCTCATCACAGCCCTGTTGTTGACCATCATAAACTATGAGAAAGAAGTCAAAGACTGTGGTACTGCCTGCATTTAGTAAGAATGTCCTCACTGACAGCAAACAAACTCAGAAAACACGATAAACACGCTGTTCTGTAAAAGTAAAATGAGATCCTTTGGGGATCCTGCACTGCAACTGTAAACTATGAGGTGATGAAAAAAACCCAGAGTATTTCACCTATCGCAACATTTAGTTCTTTTTCCTTTACAGAAAAATCATGCTCAGCTAAACACTCCTCCAGTGGTATAAAACCAGGATTTCACCGAAAATATCTAGAAAATTATGAACCCTGAATCACAAAGCACTAACACAAATGCAGAAAAACGGATGGGTTTTCTTTTAAAAACACCACCATCTAAAAGCACTGCCTTCTTCTTCAGAAAAGCCCTAAGCTAGCACTTGTTTTGACTTCGCTTTCAATACAAGTCACCGAACGATAGGAGCAGGAAGGCCTGTGACAGTCTCAGTGGCTCAAACCTGCAGGTGAGAACACAAACAGCATCCCATTTCAGGATGAATGGGAGGCCTCTGGCTGACAGGATGACTTGAACATCGGGCTGACAGCTGAGGTCCCACTGTACGCCTGACACCAGAACCGTGCTTAAGCTACCCAGCTGATCCATGTCAGTACTACAGGAATTGCTGGCCACAGGGGAAGTTTGGAGCAGCAGTAATGATGCTCAAGGACCCTGAAGAGAGCAGACACTATGCCGGGTTACTCCAGAACAGCAAGTCAGTGTAGGACAGCTCTCACTTACCTTCTGAGACAGGTAGGACTTGTAATAGTACAGCTGGAAGAGGAGGAAAACGAGGCTGCTCAGAGAGAGCAGCGCCAGGACCACGGTCTTACTGACTTTCTGCATCAGGCTTCGGGGTGTTCCTGATCGCCGCCTGGGAGCAGCGTGGTATCGCTCACCTTCTCC